GGGAACCTCCTATGTTTCAGTCGGTGCCCATTGCCTCTGGTCCTGGCACTGGGCACCACTGAAAAGAGCCTGGCTACGTCCTCCTTGCAGCCTCCCTGCAGGTATTTCCATACACTGATGAGATCTCCCTGAGAAGGCTCAGGGGGATCTCATCAATGGTGCACCTCTCCTACAAGGAAAGGCTGATAGAGCTGTGAATGTTTAGCCTGGAGAACATCAGGAATACCTGAACAGTACTAGATCATAGTGAAAGAGTTCGACTTTACATTTGAAAATATTATTTCCAGAGGAAGACTGCATTCACTAAGTTTCTTCATTAAGCAAGGAAGGTTTACTCTAAGGATATTCAGACTTGCTTTTTAAAACGTATTTATGGAAACTCTACCCAAATGTTCTAACTACTACAAATGTGTTTGGATATTCAGGAAATTTTCTAAGGCATCTATAGTTCTCAAACAACATTCTCCTTCAAGTGACAATTTTTCACAGTGTGTCTACAATGTAAAGTGACTGAAAATTCCCATTTCACAAGATTTTTTTTTCTAATTGTACTTTTCTATACACATGCTAATTCCATATTGCCTGAAAAGCTTTGGTAGCCTATAAACACATTTAAATAACTGGGCCCTTATTTTTTAGTGAATTCTGTATTTTAGTATTTCTGTTATACTATTACTCTCTGCAGTAAAAACAGGCTGCAGACGAAGTGTTATAAGCACAGACACTGTATGCTCATGAAACTAAGTAATACCATCCTCCCCAAACAAATTGTATCAATCACTACAGTACCTGGACAATGTACAAATTCTATCTGTACTTCCTTTTCTATGCAAACATTTCGACATGTAGCACACTGCTTTTCCAAATACAGGGTTTCAGCAACACCAGAGCTGTGTAAAATTTTGCAAGTCTGGTAGTTTTAATAAAGAGCACAAACTACACTTGTATGATGCATATAAAGCAAACAATAATATCTGCTGCCTGTACATACAATCATGAAGTTCACAGCTAAATTAGTACTGCCATCTGCTTCTGTCCTTGAACATCAAACAAATATTTAGGTACAAGTAATGCAGAAAAGACTGTTAGGATACATGATTTTGAAATCTCATTATGTGGGGAATCAGGGAGATGGTCTCAGCATTCAAGAACAGCTGCTCATAGGTCACACAACTACCTTTTCTAGTAATAGTTTCCTCTTATCACAGGATTATCATGTGGCAAGTAATTAAATCCTTTATACAATAAGTTGGTATACTGCTAGATATCTTGATATCTAACTTTCTTGAACCTCAGTTCCATGGGCTTCAAAGCATCCTCTCTTATGGTCACAAGAAACTGGGATGAGCAGAGCCTTGCCTATGTTTGAGTGGGTACCAGGTACAATCAAATACGCATGTTTCATCACAGGAAGAGGAATACCGAAGAACAGCACATGCTGCACCACTTAATACGGAGCTATTCTGCCCTTCTCTACCAGGTGATAGTCCCTGAGTTAGAGAAGTTTCCCTACTTCAGTAACAGGTCAGAGAAGGGGGAGAGTGCACTGAGACAAGCCACAATTTGTATGTCAATTTCTTCACTGCCCTGGAAACTCAAGCGGTATCATTTTAGTATGTTTCTTCTTAAATGCTCTGCAAACATTTCAGTGTATTAACAGTGCAAAAATCCCTGCCTTCCAGGTATTCCGTAATTATGCAATTAATATTATAAAAAAGACACAAGATCATTTACTGCCTAATTGAAAATATTTCACATACACACACACACTTAACTGACCTTGGAGGGATTGAATGGCATCCCTAAATATGAAGAGCCTCTGAATCCACAGCGATTCAAGTTTGATCCTGGAAAAGATCAAAAAATAAAGACTCAACTAGCTTGCTTTGCGGAAACACTCATTATAAACCATAATTCTCTAGCCAAGATCAAGACTTGCTAGTTCAACACTATTCACAGTATTACTAGAGTTTGCATGTGTCTTTCAGCATGTTCCCAACCTCAGTTTGTTATCACTCTGATTAAAAAAAAAACAAAACAAAGAAAACCACACGCAAACTTGATCCTGCTGTAGTGACAAAGCATCAGATTTTTTTGATTTGGTGGAAATATAGTGTGCATATCAGCACAGAATAGTCTTCCATGATCACACACAAAAAAAAAAAAAAAAGGAGATTGCTCCCTTGGAAAAATGCCCAGAGTTAACAGATTTTTTTCCTCCCTGGATTCCTGCCTGGTAATACCGTCTGTTCCCAAGCAGAATTGTTTTAAGATACTTTGCAACATGTACAAGGACAAACAAACTCTTCGCAGTTTTAAGTTAGTACTGATCTAACTCAATACTATCAAAGTGAAATAGTTAAAATGATGTGAAAGGCAAATTTTTAATTGGAGCCTAAAACACAGGTACAAGAACATTGCAGCTATCAAACATTTCTGTTAGTGATTCAGTGTAATTTGTTTTAAATGTGTCACAGTACCTGAGCATGCAGCATACAGAAGCGTGCACTACACGCTGTCCAGAGCTACATACAGGTTTGCAAGGCTCAAATCTGCTTCTGCATGGCAAAAACTCAATTACTTTACTCCTCCTCTGAAAGTAAAACCTAATGAATGCCGTAGTTCAACAGCACTTGGGCGTTCTTAAATTGTCTCCCCTTCTTTTTTTTTTTTCAGCTCTTCAGCCTTTAATCTAAAAATCCTCATGTAGATTAGGGAAAATTGCACCAGACTAACCAAAAAAGAATAGTTATAAAGCTAAAGTCCTAAAAAACATCACTATGCAATGTGGTCTACCAGTTCTGGTGTTATTTATCAGCACATTAGCTTCTAATTTTAAACACATTCTGCATGTATGCAACATTTTAACTAGAAGCTTTTATCAGTCTAAGTACTTCAATGTGGTTAAAATATGCAAGTTTCTCTACCAGACAAGTCTTTGGATCTAATTTACATAGAGTGAATCATTATTTAACAGAAAAAACCCCACCTGCAATTCTCCACTTCCTCCACCTTTCAATCAAAAGTACTTTTTAATGATTCTACAAGTGTAATGAAGGTCATTTCAGCCTGCACTAAAAACTGGTATACTATAGTTATACCCACAAAGAGAAAACAGAAAGAGTATCTGTATTTATAGACAAAAAATGCATAAATGTTGTATTTTGTTATAATCTAAATCTTCCCAGCAGAGAACATTTATCTGTTAGCTCCTGGAGTCAAAGACTTGCATTTCGTGTTGCAACAGTTCTGGAAAGCACAATAAATACTAGTCTTAAGGACTTATCTAAGGTGCTGAAGGACACTGCTGAAAAAGCACCACAATTGGAAAAATGACACGATGTGAATGAATCAGTAAGAGGAGAACTAGAATTCCTACTTCTTAAATACCAGATTTGCTAGGTGATATTGCGGAAAAATCACCATTCACTTGGCCCATTTTCAGTAAAAATGAATCTATGTCTTAAGTGGTTAAGTAAACTACAAAATTAACTTTGAAATGGCACTAATGTGGAAACCCTTCATCCAGAAAACAGTTGCTAGCCCACCAGCACACAGCTGTTCTGGCCTGCTGCAAATGAAAACGTGCTACAATTAGGACAGCTCTGAAGTCAAACAGAACTCAGCTGCTACTTGCTAGATGGAAGGATCCATCCCAGAAAGACTGATCCCGATCATCGGCCTTTTAGACTGTAGCTTATAATTCATTATCAAGGTAGAAATGGCAGTATGAAACCCAAGTGCAGTGTGCTGTTAGTGGGTCACTTTGACTTCTGACTTGACAGCTACTATGAAAAAGGGAGATTAAAAATGAAGTACATGAATGAAATCAGGTTCTATTATTCCCTTCAGCTGTTCAATTTTTGTGTAACATTTTAAAACTTTTCTTGTACTACTAAACTGCTACCAACTAAAAAGCAGCATTGCTAATTTTAAAATGCTGGATTTTTACCTGTATTGCTACCATTGATTTAAAAATCTATTTTGACTCTTTATGTCAGTGACTTCCAATCTCCCATCCCAGAGTTTACACACTGGCTCCTAGGAGAAACAGAAGAACAGCATGGCTCTTCAATGCCCTTACTGCTGCATAATCTTTAAAGGGAATTTTATCCCTTCCTCCGAACAAAAAAACTTTTGTCATTAATGTGCATGCAAGAGATGCTTCCTAGACCTTCAGCATTACAAGTGAATTGCTAAATTTCTAGCTACAATTCTTGAATTAAAAAATAGAATGCTGAGCTGATAAAGGAAGTGTTAAAACAGGAAGTGAAAACAGCTAATTTCTAACCAGATGACTCTGGCACATTGACGTCATGTCTCAAATTTTTTTTTAGCTTCCTGTGAACACACAAGTTCAAAACCAAATGGGAACTAAAGGGAAATTAGGGCAAAACCACTGTCTTTGAGTTTATGTACATCACTTCACGTTCTGTGAAGTTGGTTTTACTATTTTATTGCAAAGTACTTGTACTTCTTATCTTATGTAATAGCTTAGTAGTGCTAATCAAACTCTTGCCTACTTTCCTGAACCACAAACAGCCTGTCAGAATCAGAAATAGAATTAGAAATTAAACATACCCTAATTAAAAGGATCACAATTTATGTCCCTTGTAAAAAACTGCTGGAGTGACCAGTTCAACTGCAGCACAGCCCACTGAAGCATCAAGTATAACTGCGGTTATGAAATGGTACCACCTAGTGTTCACTTTCAGAGTTAAGCGTATTTAACCACTTTCTGAAAGAGCTTAAAACAGAGCAAAAAGCAACAAACTTTTCATCAATCCGCCGTGTGACTATTGCAAGCTGAACAAAACACACCTAGAAGAACTTTTCACATTTGACAACAGAACTAAAGAAAATTGACCCTCTTCCCAAACCAAAAGACTCCACACTTAAATCAAGAGCTGAGACTTTTCCATGAAGAAAACCATGTTAATTCCATATGCATAGGCCAGAAAGTCTTTAAGACATGTAATAGAGTTCCAAGTGATGACCACAGACGGCTTATCCTGGGAGCTCTTTTGTTATTTATCTTTTATGATTTGTCTTGAATGGGAAGATTGGTAAGTTTTACCACTAATTCTTCCCATTCAGGTTACCTATGCATTCCTCTGGTTCCAAGGCTTTTCTATTTTGCTAAGTACAGAAACAAGCTTACATACATCATAAACATCTTAATATCAAAAAAAAAAATCATCACAGCTTTAACATAGGCTGACACCGTCAGTACATCCAGATAAAAGTAAGCATAAGCAATTCTTACTGAACTAGGGCTAAAAGATAACTATTCTTATAAATCAAAGCACTGGAACATGTCAAAAAATGCAAAGTTGCATTCTCTAAAATGGAAGTCCATTATACATCCAGATAAATACTTCAAATGTAGCCATTAAAGAAGGTTATGTTGGAGGAAAATTCGTATTTTTGCTCAAGAAACTCATGATCAGGAAGCTCACATGTAACAATGATGTCAAAAACAGTCATTGACATTTTATCCATTTTTCCAGTACTGACACGCAAGTAAAGAAGAAAGAAGCATTATTACAAATCCAAATTTAGACTTTCATAGAAGAAAGTTTTAGGTCCCCGATGTAGTGTAATGGTTTTCAGCCTGCTGTGCATGGGTCCTGGGGGTTCAGTCCCACAAATGAAGTATGTCTCAGCTCTCCTTTTGGTGCCATTTCTTAGTACAGCAAAGCCAGTGAAGAATCCAGCTGTCAAGAAGTACAGCCTTCTTCCCTCTCCCTTACTGGGCTGGCACTAGCACTCCCAGTTCACCAATGCAACACAAAGCTAACTTTCTGTTAGAGAAATAAACGCATGCTTTTCTGCCACTTCAACAAGCTAAATCAGCTCTCAAGCACGGTCAAACAAGTGCCAGTGTTGCTATGGGGGAGGATGGTGGATGAATATGGCCAAGGAGTGTGCCTTCACTGTCTGTAATTAGATTACTTGAGTACAGAGCTCTGGATTCACTCTCTTTCAAAAGTGCTGAACTGTTTTTAAATGTGACCTGCAAGAAACTGGGATACATCTTTCTCAAATTGCTAAGAGTTGCACTTTAAGATAGTTAAAATAAATTTGAAATTCTGTCTAGGAGCTGCTTTATGAGAGGAAAAACAGTAAAGGTCTGACATGACAAGAATCTTAAGAATAAGCAGCTGAAACAGGGTCTTTTGTCAATCCTTCTCCAATTTCACTAACACTTTAAAAAGTATGTCTTAGTCTAAATAAATATCATTTCTGATAAGGCTTGTAAAAGAGCATCGCCCTCCTCAAAATGAAAAAAGAAAAAGAAAAAAGTTTTTTTTTCAAGATTTCAACTTCTTTCTAAAAGGAAACACAGTGAGGTCTTTCTGCAGTGAACACACAAACAAAACAAAAACACGTATTAGCCATGCACCTAAACAGAGCATTTACTAGAAGTGAAGGAAAAGTAACAAAGGCCAAAATCTACGGAATATAAGGCCAAACTATTTTGCAAGAGTTATAGAAAACACGGGCACTTTAAGAAGCAGAAGACAGCAATAAGACCAAGCATTCAGCTAGGGTTGGTAGTTTTCTGTGTGAGGGTCAGCTCGCATGTGTGACATGCCATTCCCTCCTAATTAGAACTGGTATTCAGTCAGTCTCTAGAACGCTTGAGGTGAAATTATGGTATCTAAAGGACATGATTTGTTCAAATCACAGTTACAATAAACCCACAGAAGAATACAGTCTATCCCGACAGACCTTAATCTTTAGCTTCTTTTAGTGCATTTCAGTTAGGCTCACAGAGTATATATTTGCTTTCTTACACAGCGAGATCAAGATCTCACCACTTTGCATTCATGAGCGTTAGGTT